AAATCGCCCAAAACCATTCACAAAAAAGTAATTGATTATGTCAATAAAATAAGGAAGGAAGTTGTAAAGGAAATTTTACAGAATAAGCTCAAGAAAAAATCTTATAGTAACACAAAAGGTCTAAAAGAAGTTATAAAAAGAGTTGGAGCACTTTTAACAAGAATATATACAAAGGAAATACATTCAAATAGTTTTTGACTATTTGATGACCATTTGTCCAACAAGTGTTGAACCTGAAAGAGTATTTTCAGGAGCAGGACTAATTTTTACTAAAATTAGATCTTAATTAGGAGACAAGACATTGGATAGTTTAAGCTTTCTGCAAAGCTACTTTTTGAAAAATGATATTTAATAAAAGTTGTATTGATTTATTGATATATAAAGTTTATCGGTAATTTACTGATTTACCAGTATTACAATTTTCATTTGTCAAATTACCAGTAAATCAAAGTCGGTAAATCCCTAGTGACGTCCATTTGTCCATCGGTAAATCCCTAGTGTCGTCCATTTGACAAAAGACAAAGAAAATCTCTCTTCTACCCTGAATTCAATTTTCTTGTGCCCTTTAAGGGGGCTCACCCCCTTCAAAATTTTTTCGATAACTACCAAGTGCATATGCATTTTAGGGTATTCATTGGAAAGAATATTATAATAGTGATTAAAAAAATAAATTTTTATTTTAAAAAAATCACAGCTGTTGCCATGGTTACTAATTCAAAATGGCGAAAACCATAAATTCTTGAAATTTAGAAAGATAATTCCCTTGGATTGGTAAAATATTTTTCAATGAAACTTTCTAACATTGTTTATTAATATAAGATGCATGCAATAAACCAAAAAAAATCAAAATATTATTTCGGGAAAGATATCTATTTAAGTTTTTAAAAAATCAACAAAATTTTTCTATATTTTTAAGATAAAAACGAACTTTAAACAAACTAATTATAGAAAATACAAAACATTTAAAGCAAACTTTTGGTTTATTGCATAAAACAATCTATTTTGGGTGTTGTGTGAAAATTTTAACTCAAAAGCTATAATAGAACAAGAATTATCACATTTCCAAATTCTATTAAACTCGGAAAAAATTCAAATTGAAAAAATAAGCAAAACGTAAAACATTTTGTAAAAAGAGCAATAGCGAGATGTTATTTTTTAGACCTTTTTAATTCTAAGCTTGATAAAACTAATTTAAAGGGTGTTTTGATAATGGAAAATTATACAACATCTACATAATCTATAATTTTATATTTATAAACTATACCACACGAAAAAAAAAAAAAAAAATTTTAAAATTGCTGTGTAATTAAAAATAAGGGAATACAATATTCAGAATAAAAAAACTAAATATAATAAAAATACTTTCTTTAAAATTAACTTTAAAATAATCCTGCTTTATAGGTTTTTCCTTCATCTTGCTTTTTCTTGTCATCTTTTTGTTTTTTCTGTCCCCTAATTTGACGTTGACGAAGAACATTTTTTAATTCACTATGTTTTATTGAATTTTTTATCCTTTTATTATTTATTCTGTCACATCCAAGATTGGTATAGAATCCTGGAACCATATTTAGTTTTTGATACAAATTAATTACAGCTTTAGCTCCAATATTAAAGTTAGATACAGCATCATAGATGCCCAAAGAAAGTTGGTGTAAACCTACAAATGTTGATTTTGGCAAACGTTTCCAAATCATATTATTAAATGACTCGTTTTGATTTTGTGTTTTTCCATGTAAGCACATGTCAAGAAGTGAGTCACATGTTAACTCATTTATAACTTTTCTAACTCAAAATGCAATACTTGTTGGCAAGCCTGGACCATGCTTAAACTTGTCAACTTCATTATTTCCCACAGCTCTTTGATATCCGCACCAACTATTATTTCCAGTCGGACAATTTACATGAAGATTGTTAATTTTATTAGATGCCACATGGCAAAAACCACTTATATTTCTTTTTTCATAGCTTGTTTATCACCAACATGCAACCTGATAGCCATTCCATAGTAGTTCTGAAGCTTGTCAATAATTGAATTTGTTAGTTTTCCTTTTCCACCTAATCCTTTTGTTTCCTTTTTTAGTTTTCGTAAACGGGTTCCTACTCTCTTTTGCACATGCCCTATACATTCTCTCTTTACAACTTTTATAATATTGTATATGTTTTCCACTGAAATAAAACTTTTCGAATCGCCATATAATTCTGTATACCTCATTTGTGATTTTGCGGATCTCGCAAAAATAATTTTTGTGCCTTCTGTTTCCATATTTGGTGCTGATCCAGTAAAATTTGCTGAACAATTGTGATTAATTTCCAAATTAGTTTTCTCTAATGAGTCAGTCATTTTATAAATTTTCTCACATTTTTTACAATACCGACTCATCGGAACAACATCTAAAACTTTGCCTGTGTCCATTGAAATGCAACTAACAGTACCATTTAGCAATGAAAATCCTCGCTTTTGCCAGGTGCCATCACATGACACAGGTACATCATAAAAACTATTTTGTGGTGGATTTTTGGATAACACTTTTAGTTCTTGAGCTGCATCATTCATAGTTTGAGTAGCAACAGCCTTAACACTCTTTTCTAACATAAAAACGATCTTGGTATAATTTTTTGATGTAAATGATGGTGGAAAATTCATAAGGGAACTAAAACGATTAATACCAGCAAAGCCTTGACCGCATCTACGCATCGAGTATACTATTCTATAGTTTATATCGAACCCTCGTGAGTTAAAAGGCAGTTTTTTTGAATTCTAAATTAATGTTCTTATTGGCAAGAACATTTTACTTTCATTTTACTTGCAAACCCATATTTTAAACTTTCACTTAGCTTCATACATGAACTTTGTTTGCATTGAGGACAACCAAGAACTGAAATTAAGTTTGATAAATTGAACATGTCCAAAATTCGATTCCCAGTAATACCATCATTTAAAAGCTGAGGAATAGCATGGCTTGACAGCTTAGAATAAGATCTTGTTTTTGGTAATGATGCTGAAGTAAATGGAACAAGATTTAACAGCTCAGATTGCATTGACACACATTGTTTTTTGTTTGTGTATTGGTTTCCTTTAAACTTCCTTTTCTTTTTTTTTAAACTAGCAAATTTTACTTTTTTAATTTTATCATTCATTATCGTTCTTTTATCTGCAAAATTATTTTTTTCCATTATTAACTCAATAATTAAACTCTTCTTTTTTACCAATAATTATTTTTAAACTTATCAACACAACTAAAAATATCAACAACTTATTTATAAATAAACACAATAATCACTAAATAATCTACTAAACATAATTTAACTTATAATAAATAGTAAGTAACACATGTGAAGTGTATGTTATGTGGTTGTGTAGAAGCGTGCCTAATTATGCTCAAAGAGAGCTTTTCCAGACCTACATGGAACTGCTTTGAAAAATTAACACTTCACAGACTTGAATTAATCATATAAGATTAAGTTTTATGAAAAAGGTATTGTAGAAAGGTGGAAAAAATAAAACTAAATTGTTGCTATGGGCGTTGCTAAGGAGATTCTTTTATACTATGTTCAAATAAACAAGAAATAGACATACTTATGTTTTGTTTTTGTTTTTTTTAAATTAGAATCAGATTCCTCATTAAATTTTATACTTAAAAAAAAAAAAAAATTTGATGAACTAAACCTAATCTTACTTTTTTGCTGTTTTAAATGATTACAAATTGTATTTATTGATGTTGGTAAATTTCTGAACAATATTAACACATCATATTAACTATTATTTTTTGTCTTGGGTACCCCAAGAAGTCCTTAGTCTCATCACAGAGCACCGTGGAAAAGCAGTTGAAAGAAATTTTACATCTCCTTCCTTACCTATGTTATAATATTTGCCTAGAGGTGGTGTTGAACCACGGATCTCTAGCTTGTCAGGCAAGCGTGCTAACCACTGCGCTACGACTGCTCAAATTAAAGCCTGACAATATATATATATATATATATATATATATATATATATATATATATATATATATATATATATATATATATATATATATATATATATATATATATATATATATATATATATATATATATATATATATATATATATATATATATATATATATATATATATAAATGTTTATTTGATTTTTAATTTTAAGAATCTAACTTATAAGAAATACTCTTTTTTTCATTTTGAATAAAGTTTGTTGTGCAAGAATACAGAACAGAACAGACTTTCGAACCACTCGTTTATGAAGCGAGCGCTCTACCACTACACCACTACCGCATATTCATAACTTGTATGACATTTAATAATGATATTTGATAATAATGAAAATGGTCAGCAATTACTCCTTTATGATAAGTGATTTGATCCAAATATTGTAAAGTTCTGGTATTGGACTATTGCTCAATTTTAAAATGCTCATATATTATATATATATATATTGCTCAATTTTAAAAACAGATTGAAAGTACTTTTGAAAGTTGAGTATAACACTTTTAGGTAATATAATGACCTATAAATTAGTATAATACTTTTAGGTTTCTCTAACTGTGTTTGATCTATTTTACTATTTATATTGATATGCAGTTTAGCAGAACTAATTGTTTAAAAAAATGATTGATAAGAAAATTAATGATAAGTTAATAATTGGAACAAATAACTTTTATATAGAACGCTCTGAAATTTCACATCTCATGAGTGGTTACCATTAATGCTGTTATAATACTGTTAATACCAATACTAAATGTTACTTCCTCTATTGGGGAGTATTGCAAAGTAGTTTCAGTTTCACTACATTTTCAGTGTATGCAGCTGAAACTAAATTCTCTGGCATCAACCTAAAATCAACATGGCTACTGAGCTTATTTTTCTCAATGAGTTGTCCAAACAAAGAAACCAAAGTTGGTTGTGTAAATTTATAATAATTATCATTAATAAATATATACACATATATTTTAATTGTTTAAAAAATTAAAAAATGAAATAAAAAATAGTTAATTTTACTAACCTTTAACCCAGCCTTGCTGGTTTATAATAAGTGGACCATGAGTTGCATAGTGATTATAATAATGCACAAGCAGTTGCTCAATTAAATGGATGTATTGTGTTGGACTGTCTTTTGGTGAAATATAACCATAGAAAAAAGATCTAAGAAATGTACAAACAAAATTTAATTAAGGAAAAAAAATCAAAAATAGATTTTTTTGAAAAAATTATTATAAAAATAAATTCAACTTATACTAAGTAAAGTTTTTAAGTAAAAACTAAGATAATCAATTATTTTTAGCGTAGCAGTTTTCCACCTGTGCATAATAAGTAGAAGCAGGGGCTATTCTAGGAAAATAATTTGGGCGGCGGTACCCCTCTGCCTCACTCCCCCCTCTTAAAATTTAAGTAATGGGGGGGGGGCCGAAACATGTTTAGAAAATTTCAAAATTTTTGTTTTTAGATAAACAAAAATTTAGTTAGTTTTTAGCTTTATTATTATGTTTAAATGTATTTGAAATAATTCACTATAATTCATTCCTGTTAAAATGATCTGTTACATAAATTTTTTAAGGAAGTTGCTACCTAAAAATAAATATTGCACAGAAGTTTCACTGAAATAAAAATAAATTAACAAATAGCCAAATTACCTTAAATTTACTAGATTGCAAATGTTTATGGGGAAAAAAACCCACATATTTACTGCAACAAACTTACTAATCTCATTGAGTCCATAACTTATATGTATAACTTCCATGTATAAAATAATTATTGTATGAAACTGCTGTTGATGTAGTTAATAAAAAAAAATCTTTAAAATAATTATTGCCATATTTTTGCCAAAAATTAAAACAAATAAATATAAGCTAAATAAAAAAACATTACTACTTTAATCAACCTAAATGCGTTTACTAATGTACGAACTTTAAAAACAATGGTACTGGTGGTCCGGTGAATATACGCGCTAAATTAAAAAGTTTTGTCCAAGTCTCTTCAAAATAAAAAACCATAAATTGAAACTTATTTTCATATTCATTTATTTTTATATAACGGCTGCAAGACAACGGATCTATTCAAAATTAATGCCAAATAAATATATATATATATATATATTTCTCTATCATATTTATAAATATTTACATATATGTTAAATAAATTTAAAAAAAAGGTCTTCAATTACCTGAATTTGGGTGGCGCCCAAATCGACGCCCAAATACGGTCGGCGCTGTCGAAAACGGTCTAGAATAGCCCCTGGTAGAAGGTAGTTAAATTTTTTTAGTTTCTAATAACTTAACTGGTATACCGAATCAAAAACTATTGCTCCACACAGAGCAAGAGTTAATGGTGGAGGACATGTAAATGGCTTTATTGCAAAATTGTAAATAAAATGTGAACACTGATACAACTTTTTCATTAACAGAGTTGTCAATCACTGGAATAATTTAGAAGATTCCACAGTGTTTCAGAAGAGTGTTGGAATTTTTAAGTGCAATTAATCCAAGATATAATAATTAACAATGAATGGAACTAAGCCCCTGATCTGCTTATAGCAGAACATATACTAATTTTCTGTTCCAGGAGGTTCACTCCTTGCAGTGTAATAATAATAATATCATAGATTCAAAGACACATTCAATATGGATATGTTAAAATATCAAAAATTTTAATGATTTTATTATGAGATATTTAAGTGCAAAATTAAAATTTTTGGTTAAAAGTATAATTCAAGATATTTTCTATACGTTATTTTCACAAAAAGTTATTCACCTTTGGTAGACACAAAATCAAATTAAATCAATTTAGTATTCTGAAAAAAGGTTTTATCATTTTAAAGGATACAGTTTTTTTTTATTACATTTAATACATGTTAATACTTGTATTTTGTATTATTTTATTTACTTTTTAATACTACAACACTATCTCTATATATATATATAAAATACTTTATCAACGAGCGCAATTATGCAGGCTCGGCATCAAGTCATCGAGAGCAATATTTAGAGTTGGAAATTTGTTGCCATGGAGCCATCCATAAATTATGTATGCAAGTATTGCATACATAATTTATGTATGCAAGTATTACATACATAATTTATGTATGCAAGTATTGCATACATAATTTATGTATGCAATACTTGCATATACAAGCTGAACATGTTTAGCCATATCTTGATATCATAATTTTTTTGTTTGTTTGTTGATGAAAATAGAGAAAATATTTAGAGCTTAGTACCCAGCATTTTAATGACTGGATTTGTTTATTATTTTGAATATACAAGTTACAAAATATATTTCAAATACAAAATGAAACTCTTTTTTTATAACATTAACATAACAAACCTTTCAGGCTTAATAAGATGTGTCGAAGGAGGACCAAGAAGAGGTGATGTTACTTTTACAAGAGATAATATACCAGGAGGAGTAAACTCTGTTTGACCAGAATCACATTCCAAATAAAATACAGAATCATATCTAAGATAAGATAATAAATATGATTTTTTCGTTTAAAAAATTAAAATAAAACAAGTTTAATTTTAAAAAAATTAAAAAATTAAAATTAAAATTAAACAAGTTTAATATAAAAAATATTTATAAATAAAAAAACAAAAAATAGTAATTATTTCAAAAAATTGGAAACATCTATAAAAAACATAAAAAATTTGAAACATATATAAAGAACATAAAAAACAGAAATATATATATGAAGAACATAAAAATTTGAAACATTGCAAATAAATCTTTTGGACTAAAATATAGCTTAATTACTTTGTTTCACTAATAAATATTTAAACTATTAGAATAATCTTCAGGCTTGGTCGGGAAGCGGGTGCGATCGCACTTGATAATTGACCGTGGAAATAATATTTAGTTGCGAAAAGCCGGCCAGATTTTTTAGTCGTTTTACAAACATTTAAATTTATTAAATGTTCTCAAAACATGTTCATGTTTGCAACTAAATATTATTTCCGTGGTCAGTTATCGAGTGCAATCGCACCCGCTTCCCGACCAAGCCTGAATCTTATGGCAGCATAATACAAGTTATTGCTATAAATTTGACATGAACAAACTTTAAGGCATACTAAAGCATTTTATCATTGAACCTAATCATACAGCCTGAAGTCCATCAACATGCAATACTTTTATTGTCAATTAGAAAAATTTAAAACTAAATTATTTTACTAAATTACAAAACAAACCTGGAAAGCATTCTGTTAATTGTGTAACGTGCCATACTTGATTTTCCAACATCCTTACCACCACAAAACATCACAGAACATCCTTATGCAAAAATCAAATGTCAACCAATGTCAAACATAAAAAAAATATAATAAAAAGAATAACTAAATAAATCTAAATATCTGAAAACTTGATTTTATACATATTTTATGGTAATAAATATATACTTATTTGTTTGTTTGTATGTATATATAAACACACATGCATTTTTATTTACACATTCATGTCATTAACTTTCAATTCTTATTACGCCTCATTAACTTTCAAATCTGATTATATAAGCTAGTTTTATAAGGTAGTATTATGTAAGGTAGCAGGCCTCGGCAGGAAGAGTGGGCATGTGGGATACATGCCAACATATATACAAGTGAGAGGGAGAACAACATACAAGTGAGAGGGAGAACAACATACAAGTGAGAGGGAGACAACATACAAGTGAGAGGGAGAACAACATACAAGTGAGAGGGAGAACAACATACAAGTGAGAGGGAGAACAACATACAAGTGAGAGGGAGACAACATACAAGTGAGAGGGAAACAACATACAAAAGAGAGGGAGACAACATACAAGTGAGAGGGAGACAACATACAAGTGAGAGGGAGAACAACATACAAAAGAGAAGGAGACAACATACAAGTGAGAGGGAGACAAGTAACAACATACAAGTGAGAGAGAGACAAGTAACAACATACAAGTGAGAAGGAGAACAATATGCAAATGAGAGGGATACACATATATACAGGTGAGATAGGAGTGTGGGTAAAAGCTTTAGCTCTTGTCAACATTCTACTAAAACAGTTTATGGGAGCAATTTATGGCTCTCACAAAGGTATAATTTTTTTTCTCAAAAGTATAATTATCATTGTAATTAAAATGAAAAACACAAAGTCATATTTATAAAAAAAAATATTAACAGCATAATAAACTAAAAAAAATTAATAGCATAAAAAAGCTTTTAAAAGACACAGCTGTTGATTTAAATGCAAATGTTTTTGATTAGATTAGACTATTTGATAAATATAAAATTATTACACACTAAATTATATTGAAAAAATATAAAATTATTTAACTGATGAAAAATAAAAATAATACACTCTAAATTATTGAATAACAACTTTTATTTTATGTAATGAATTATATATTTTATATATAATAATTACTTTAATATATTATTCACTTTTATTGTAGAATTTTTAACTGTTGAAATATTTTTAAAAATGCCTGCATTCTATTACAATAAGAAAAAGTACAGTAAGAAAGTATAAAACATTTTTTATAAGCAGTAAAAACTTTTATAGCTCTTTATCAAATTTTATGTCAAATAAGTAATGTTGTTAATAAATAATGTGGTAGTGGTGTAGTGGTAGAGCGCTCGCTTCATAAGCAAGATGTTCCGAGTTTGATTCCCACAACGTCCCTGGTAGTACCGCGCTCAACTTGTTTCTCTGCGCAGCGACCTTGTTCGACAAGGTTCGTGTTTCGGATTTATAGAGTTGAGAGAGCAGGCCTTGTTAAGAAGCGTTTCCCTATTTGAATTTCACGTACGCATTTCGCAATTTACGTTATGCAAAAACTTTTTTCAATAAGTTTATTTTAAACAGTCTTTTAAAACAGATTCTGCGGAAAACATTAAACTGTATTTAATTGTTGTAAAAAAACATTTGTGGAATATTTTTTTATTAGATAAAAAAACAGATAGATATCCTTTTTTCTATTTTCCGTTTTTTAAAAAAAATACTTTTAATTTATTTCATTAAATTTAATTTAATTTTATTATTATTCATTGTTTTAGTAATTTATTTGATTAAACTTTATAAAAAAAATTTTAAAAAATTTCAAAACGTTCCGTTTTACAATTTTTTTACTGATAAAATTTCCAAAATTTATGTTAAAGAAAAAAAAAATTTAATAAATTTAATTCAAGTAACTTTAAAATGTTCGTATTACATATAACTTCATTTTAATTTCAGTTAAGTTCCAGTTCCATATACTGGTCTGAATAATGCGCTTTTGTAGTTAATAAATGACGTCAATACAAAAAAATTCTTCAAAACTCGAGTTTAGATGTTATGTTTGAGTTTTCCCTATGCCATTAAATTTTATGTAAAAGAATTTTTTTTATAAAACCAACCTAACTTTAAACCAATTAAAAATAACGCGATTAATAAATAAACTCTTTAAAAGCCCAACTTATATTTATTTATTTAATATTATTAAAACAAAACTAATACTAGTGCTATAGATATAAAATACGTAAATTTCAAAATTATACTGATATTTGTTAAAAACAAGTTCTGCTAATAACATCATAAAACCGAAAATACTATTTTTCTTTTTGGATTTAGCAAAAAACAGTAAAAATACATTAGGTTTCACGGTACATAAAAATAAAATATTTTAATTGAAATAAATTACAATTTTTATTTTTTCAAAAGCCAGTTAGCGCAAAGGTTTTTTAAAAAGGGGAAAACGCAATCTAATCGTGTACTAAGTACACTAAAATCCCTTTAAGAAAATCAACCATAAACAAGTGTCCCCCCTATTTTAAAAAAATAACCATAAAAAGAATGTTTCAAAGAAAAAAAATTAAGTTTAAATTAGTATAAGATTTTAAAATAAGGAAATTTTTTTTTAAACAACATTTAAATTTAATTTATAACTTTTTTTATAAAGATATTGTTGCATTTAAAGATATTTAATTTAAAAGACTTAATAATAAATAATAATTTCTAATGTGTTTTTAAATTTAATTACAATGAGGTGTTTTCAAATACGCAACTGATACAATTAAACTTTTAACAATGTAAATATCTTTATTTAATTAAGTTACATTTATTCATGTTGCGCTTTTCCGTTATGCAACAAAATCTAATAACAAGGCCTGAGAGAGGGTTATAAGCACAAGTAGCCTTTTCATCTGTAGTGGCCTTCTCGGCCTTGGGGAGGTGAATTACAAAAAAATAATAATAATAATATAGAAAAAAAAAAGAGGGTATGAAAACCCAATACTCTTCTAAATAGTTTAATCACAGCTTTTTTGTCACTTTGTGACTTGTTTCTCTGACAACCCTAATATTTACCTTCACTTCTTGATTTATGTCTGGTATTCAATCCTAGCTTGTGTTCAGTTTCTCCTTTTTCTTCCTTAGGTGGTTGTGACCATGCAATCATCTCTATAAATTGTGATTTTCTTTGTGATGGTTGCTGATGTCTTTTCCCTCTCAGCTTATAAATGCACCTCCTACATAAGCTCCTGGATTAAGACAGAAATAGATACTTTTATTCTTTCTTGTTGGTTCCACATGAAGCCTCATTCTACTCCATGGTTTTCACCCTCTTGTACAGCTATATCTAATCATAATGATTTTTTTCATCTTTTTGGTAAGAACAACACTCTAGAGAACAAACAGCTAGAAAAAGTAGTTGCAAGAAAAAGGTGCTGTCTGACACTAAGCTCCATTATTCTCAGTTCACTTATTCTTGTATCTAAGAAGTTAGACTCTATAGACTTTTGGGAAATCTTCAACAGCGTTGTTAACAAAAGAAAGTCTAACATTCCATCTCTCATTCATGGGACTGATCTTATTACCACTCCTAAGGGTAAGGCTGAATTATTTGCAAAGAAATTGTCTCCTAATTTGACTGTCAAATCTTATGGCCATCCTCTTCCTTACATTCCAATTAAACAGGTTAACCCATTGTTAGACATTCAATTCACTCCAGCTTCCGTTGCTTAAGTCATATCTCAATTAAACTCTTCTATGACTTGTGGTCCAGACAGTATTCCTATCACAGTCTTACAAAGTTGTTCTCCAGAACTCTCTTCAATTTTCTCTTAAATATTAAATAATTGAGTCTTGTTTTTCTGCCTGCTGGATTATGGTATTAGCTGCTCCAATTTTCAAAAACTCTGGTGAACATTCTGACCCTCCAATTATCGTCCAACAAATTTTTAACAACTTATCTCGAGTCAAATAACTTGCTTTCAGACAATCAATACGGTTTTCAATCTTTTCGCTTAGGGCTGACTTGCTAACTGCTGTAATTGAAAAATTTTATTGTGCATCAAATGGAGGCAGAAAACCTAGGGTTATTACTCTTGTCATATCTAAGGCTTTCAAAAAAGTTTAGCTTGTTGATTTTCTTTATAAGCTTGTTTCATTTGGTGAATCTGGGAAAGTTTTTGAGATTATCAAATCGATACTTTCTAACTGCTTTATTAATGTTATCCTCGAAGGCTAACACTCTTCTTAATTTCCAGTAACTTCCGGGGCATCTCATACACATGGTCCTACTTTGTTTCTTATCTACATTAATGATTTTCCTGACAACCTTACATCTAAAGTAGCTCTTTTTGCTGATGACTCAACTTTATACTCCTTCTTGACAAAAAGTCTTCTATTTTCAATCAGTTTTCAAAACAGGCAGCCAATCTTGAATTTGGGGCTCACAACGGGTTGTAACTTTTAACTCCAACAAAACTTAGTTATTTACTGCAAACAATTATCGCAGTACTGTTGACATTCTTATATTAATAACAATCCTCTTATTGAGTCTTCTTTAAGAAGACTCAGTGAGAGGGTTGGACCTGGTCTATCTGCTAAGCTTGAGCCATCGTTGTAAAGTTGCATCTTTTTCTTTTTTCTACAAATACTATCATGGTTGCTGCTCAATCTCTAGTTCAATCAACTCAGCAGGAGCTATCATCTCTAGTTTAATCAACTAAAACTCAATCTTGCTTGACATTCATCAAAGTCTTATTCTTTTACTGTATCTGTCCTTACCCTCATATCAACCCTTTGGAACTCTCTCCCATCTTCATGTTTTCCTGATTCATACAGCCTTCAACTTTTTAAGTCTTCTGTCAACCATTTCCTTGCTCTGTAACTCTATTCTTTTTTTCTAGTAACTCCCAACTTAATAGTGGTTGCTTGCAGCCTTGTTGGGAGCGAATCAGGAAAAAAAAAATTATTATTATGGTTAAATATACGTTAAATATATTATTATGCTAATTACTCATTTCTGACAGCAATAAAGATAATGTAATTTGCTTTTTTCAGTACTTCCCCAGGCAATATTATCGTTGTTTATGTAGCAGTGAATAAATGAGAAATAAAGTTGTATTAAGATAAGTTCAAGCTTTGTTTAAAACTCCAATGTTTTTAGAGAATTTAGTACATATTTATAGTTTTCATCAAGAAAAACATCTAGTAATTCAATAATGAAGTCTCTTTTTATGTAAATTTCATCAATAAAGATTCAAGGCAAGTTAGAGAGTAAAATTTTCGTACCTTTTTGATCACTGGACCACAACTTACCTCAGTAACATCACATTGGTTTTCTCGATGTTTATTATGACTAGCATCAAGATCAACCAGTTCATTGTTCTCAGAAAAATCATCATCCTAGCATCAGTTAGTTTTTGAAAAGTCATCTTCTATATTCTAGATTGTTTGTCATCATCGAATGGCTGATCTATTTCTTTGTTGCTAACCAATTTCTCTTTTTACATCATGCTTTTGATAAAGTAATTCAATAATGGCCAGTTACACACCATGGGTAAAACATAACTGTTGATTTACAGGTAATATTCTCCTAACTTTTTTCATCACACTTGCTCCGTCAGTCATAATACCAACAATACCTTTTTGCAAATCAAGTCCTTGTTGTGCAAGCTTTTGTTCTAATATCTCAATACACCTGTCTGCAGACATTGATCCTGTTATACAAATAAGGCCTAAGCTCCAGAACTGACAATTTCATGCATGTAAATTTATATTCATGTAGCAACGATTACGTAGTTATACTCATTAAGAGATAAAACAGTGTCCATTTATCAAAATCTTTCTCCTACACCAAATTCAGGGGTTTTTTTGCCTGCTCTTTCAATATTTAAAAAATTACTTATTTTTTTTGTTGTAATCTACAACCATTTTTAACTTACAGTGTTGACTGTTGTAGGTAAATTTTTGAATATTTGAAGACATGTACATATATCACTAGAAGGGCATATAATGTTCACATCAAGGGCTGTTAAATGTGCAAGTGTTGCAGAAAGTGACTCTTTTTCTCGTGCCATTATAAAAAAAATTAATTAACATTTTTGGCTTTTTTTGTTTGTGGTTTATCTGGTGTATTTGCTGAAATAGTAGGTGATGTGAGTTTAACTTTATGGATAGAAAGTAAGTGTATATGGAGACCTTTTGTTGAATTTCACCTTCAATTCTTGATATCTTTTTGCAGTCAGTTACACATTGGTGTCTGCTCTTTTTGTTCTCATATGAAATGTTTCAAAAGCCTAGAACTACTTTTTTTTTGTCATATTCCATGTAAGAAGCCATTATAATATAAGAAAATTTCTGTTTAAATAATCAGCAATTTTAATCTAATAAAAACTAGTACTATAAAATAATTATAAACAAATAAATCTTTAAAAAGAATTTTTCCTTAACACACATTTCACGCAAGAACTTCAAATTTGTAATAATCCTAATAATCATAAGTATAAATTTGTTTTGTTTTTTTTTTAATTTTTTTTTTATTCAATCATTTTAATTATAAATATTTAAATACACTCATAAACTAATTTATATATAACTAAATTTATCAAACATTATTTTTTATATATTTTTTTTATATCTATAAGTAATAACTATTATTATGACATTGTTATTAAAAAATATATATATATATTTATATTTTATAATTTATATTTTATTTACATTTTATAATTTAGAAGTAAATATTATTACTTAAAGAAAGTTTTTATTACTTAGAAGTAATTAATAATATTTAAATAATATTTATTACTACTAAGAAATAAATTTTAGTCATACCATTATTATAATTATTTGAAAGTATTTCATCAACAACCACACTCCATGAATCTGTTTCTAACACAGAATCTGTTTCTAATGACGAAAACTATAAACATGAAAATAGCATGTTTAAATTTAAAATTTTATTTATAATTTTTAATAAAAAAAAAAGTTAAAACTACCAACGGTGATCGCAATGCATCTGGAAACATAACACGAGGCATTACTAAGTTTAAACGTTCAACAAGTATAACTGAATAAAAACTTTCATTTTTTATAAATTCTTCTGATTCGTCCATTTTTTTAAATATCTTTGACAGATGGACAATCAAACTTTTCTTTTCAACATCCTAAAAAGTTAATAAAATAAACTAGACTTAAAAATAGCAACAAATAAATCAACCAGAATCAAATTGCATTGATGTTTCAATGCAACTTGTATAATATTAATCCGAATTAATCCAAAAAAATAGCTTCTATCATATTAGTCAATATTAAAGATTTTAAATATAAATAATAATGCTAATAATAGAGAATGGTTTTCGAATTAAAAAGTTAAATAATTTTTTTTTTTTTTTTTTTCATAATTATTATAAAGTTTTTTTTCTTAAGCAGATACTGATATTTAAACCACTTAAAAAATCAGGAGTTTTTTCAATAATCTTCAAACTATTTGACAAGTTTTTAGAAATTTTTTAAAATCTCTGGAGATAATTCTTAATTTTCTTGAATTTATTTTCCTATTATAACTAGCAAGATCTTTGAATATAACTATCAAGATCTTTGAATTTTTGATCATCTCTAATCTTAGATCTACTTTTGAACATAATCTCTTCACTTTAAACCTTTTTGCTTTTTAATAAAAAGCACTTAAGGTTTAAATAAAATATATTGTCTAAAGTTAATTGGTAGTAATCATGTTACCATTGATAATTATCATATTATCATTGGTTATCATCATATTATCATTGGTTATCATCATATTATCATTGGTTATCATCATATCATTGGTTATTATCATATTATCATTGGTTATCGTAATATTTCATGGGATATCATCATATAATAATAGGTAATCATCATTAGGGTAGGTCACTTATGAAAAATTTTTGAATTTAGGTTTGGCTGGGCATTTTCTTATGTCTTTGACCATATGATACTGAGAACCAAATCTCTTTTTATTTGTATTCAATTTTTAGTCAGGTAATTTTCAGCTTGAAAATTTTAGTTTTATCATAAATATACAATTTCCCCAGTGTTTTGTCAATTTTTTTACTATTATCATTTTCAAACTACTTTAAATCAAATAAATGTCTACATTTACTTGATATAAAGTGGTTTGAAGATGATAATAGTAAAAAAACTACACTTATTTTATCAACAAAAATGTCAAAATATGATCCTAAACTATAGCAACTATTTAACCATAGAAATGGGTAATAATTAATTTTGTAAGATGTATTGATGACACATTTCGAAAAATTTTGTTTATATACACCAGTCAGACCACTAGTAAAAGTTTTATTAGTTATTAAATAGAAACAACGCACGTATTGAAAAAATAATGCATGTATTGGTTGTATAGAAATAAGTTTACAGTTATAAAGAATGGCTCATAACACTTGTGATAAAGTTAAATGTAAATTAACAAAGCTAATTGGTACAGGAAAAACAGAACTACCAACTTTAAGAGATGTTTTAAGATATGGTCTCTTTCTTAGAAGAATTAAAGAAAATAACTAAAATTTAAGACTAACTTCTGAAAAACTGTGGATCTCAGTATAATATTTATGGCAAAAAGCTAATCCCCTTATACCCATTATCTCTGATAAAAGAGGAAAAGAAAGAATCATGTATGACTGGAAAAAAGCATATAATCTGGCGTTAGGTAGGAGAATATCTAAGCAAGTTTCTGATCATAAATTAATCTTAGATAAACTGTTTGACCTAGCTAAGTATAAATGTTCAATAAAATCATAAGAAAAATCCGATTGTTATGGCTGCAACCAAGTTTTCATATTTTTTGCAAATGTTCTCAGGAAAACAAAATTCCTATTATTGAACTTAAATTTTTTAAGTCACAGAAGGATAAAGTTGGTTCTAAAAATGGAATGCAAATAGGTTCAGTTGATAGAAAAAAAAGTATCCAGACAAAAAATATCATCAAAGAAAGCAGAACAAATCAAAAAGCTTTAATTATTTTATTTAATTTGGCATTTGAAATTGAGCATAAAAAGTAATTCATTGTAAGAATGTAATAATAGCGTCCCAAATGGACTCCAGCTTTATATTACTATTTTTCCTGATCTCCAGTGTCCAAAAACTCTTAACATGTTAGTTGATCTACAAAAAAGTGAAAAACTCATAAGATTTAATGTCTTAGAACTTATTGTTTTTAAGCCTGGAGTCCCGGAGTCCTTGCCCTAATTATATTTAAGGGCTCCGGATTCAAAAACTATAAGTTTTACTTTTTTCCCATTGGTATTCTATAAGCTTTTTTACATTTTACAAACTCCTGGATACTAAAAACTAGAAAGAAGTAATCTTTTTGTGACTTTCAAACCAGTCTCATATGGGATTTCACATCCCTGAGTAAAATTTAATAAATGGAAGGAGGGGGTTCTAATAAGGTTAGGGTCAGTGGTATAATTTTCAAGAAAATTACTAAACATCAACATCTTTCTGTGTATTAATTATACACTGGTCTATTATAACTTATTACAATACCTCTCGCCATTGCTATGGGCACACAAATGACACAAAACCAAGGTCAAATGACATAATAAATAATAGGTATGTGACACTAGGGTGTTGACTTTTTGGTATCTCAAGTTTCCAATATAAAAAATAGATGAATTTTGGTTTGAAAGTGACTGAAAAGTCATTGGTTTTATTTCGTTTTTGAAAAAGATCTCCCACCCTTACTCGGCAATTTTTTTTATAAATAGTCATTAGAACATGACACAATTTTTTTTGATTGGATAAATGCCATTTATGTGCAGAATACGAAGAACATTTCACACTTATTTTTGATATTCTTATTTTAACTGACATACTATAAAAATAAATAATTCCGAGACATGTTTTATAATAAATTGTTAGACAGCATAAAGAACACATCCTCATTTTAAAAAAATTTTCCATCATTGAATGTACCAGAGACTCCGCTTCATTGAACATCAATAAGAAGTCCAAATGTATTATTTAATTTTTTTTTTTTTTTTTTTTTTTTTTCTACATTCAACCAATTGTTTCTTTTTAGCTTGTTTGCATGAATAAATTCGAAATCATTATACTCTGGTCTTCTTCTCTGTCCATAATGTAAAAGACATTTTAAACAACAAATGCAGAGATTGAGAGTGTGGATTCCCAGGTCATCTTAGTAGTTTGCCTACAGTAAGCAACTTTTTTTTGGATTTAATCCGCAAAGATTATAAACTTGGTAAGTATCACTTAATGAAGAGAAACTTTGACATCAATTATCATTTCATTTTAACTTCATTTTAACTTATGATTGACTTCATTTTAACTTATGATTGACTTCATTTTAACTTATGATTGACTTGAAATGAGATTATTGCTCTGAGCACAGTTTACATAAAAAAATCATATTCTGCTTTTTGATGATTCACACCAAGATATTGCATTTGAACAAGGCAATAATATTGGGTTGAGGATATTTTGGGAATAATCCATAGAATAACAATAGTTTCCTGTACTTTATGTTCTACTGGTACTGTACATGAAAGAAACAAAGAATCTTTAACTGGAACTTGCAATCTGTACTCTCCATATTTCTCTGTTTATAAACAGATTGTCCAGTTGAACAATCAAAAACTCAGTTGAACTATCAAATCTAACTTTGCTTATAAGAAGAAAAGGCTCAAGTAGTTTAGATTTATTTAAAATTCCCAAAACAAGTTATGTTTAATTTGTAAATAAACATTAGAAAATAAGTCTTGAGTTTATTAAAATTAACAAAACAACTATTTATTGAGATATTAACAAAATACATTTTGCCATTATATTTCCGGTTGAGAGGTTAATATTAACTCCACGAATCTGCATAGATTTTTCAGTATATATAATGTACTTACTAAAGAGTTTTTTAAACGATTTACACAATTACACAATTAGATTGGGTTTTCCCCCTTTATAAAAAAATGGTTCGCACTACTTTGAGCTATATCTTCCTCTGCTGAGTACATTTTAGAGTATGATATATTACAGGACCAACCAATTTTATTTTCAATCAAATATTTTAAAACTTAAAATATTGTATCTTATAAAATATTGACATCTTTTAATTCTTCTTTGTTAAGATTAAGAATAAGTGCATAAAACGTGGTAACTTCAAATTTTTTAATAATTTCTGGCAATCATCTTTCCTAAGACCTTATCGAGAGATCTTTAAATGATTATGATGGTGGACCTGATTGTAAATTTTGTATCCAATCTAGCTGTTGAGGTTCATTTACAAAAAATCTTTATTTAACTATTTCTAAGTTAACAATTTATAAGACTTTTTGCTTTTTTTTTTTGCCTATTTTATTCCATTTCTTCTTATTTCATATTTCAATTTTTATTTTAGTTAAACTAATAGGATTGCGCTCAGGATATTAGTAAATTAATATATGAACTTTGATTCTCACTAAACAAATAAAAAATGTCTTTGTTCTTCATGTTAAAACTCAAAAATTACAAACTATTTGCTTTTTCATGAACATAATTTATTTTGATATAATAACAAATGACTTGATTTTTTCATAACTATACTTTTATTAATCAAGTTCTTATCCAAGTCAAAACTTTTATGTGCTATTATTCTAAATTATTTCACTATTTATTTTCACGATTGAAACCATAAAAAAAGGAATTTTATAACATCACAATTTAGATGGGGAGCAGCATTCAAGTTTAAATGCATCATGTTTGCTTATAAAAATTGAATTCAGTAATATAGTCAAATGAATTGATTTTTCATAACAATATACTTGATTTTGATGATGTACATTAAAGTTGTGAAAAATTTTGCTAATTTATTACTTACATTTATTCATTTTGATATCTTTTTGTTTTTAAAATTGTTTTGGCTGCAATTGAAGTTTTTTCTCAATACTTATATAATAGAAAAATAAGAAAATAAATTGCTATTTTTTTGTAAAATAGATTATTTGCTTAATGAACATAATAATTGCTCAGTTTGAAAAAATGTAAATAAAAACTTAAAAAAAGTTTTAAATAGGCTACTAAAAATAATTGTTTAAAAAGTTCAGTAAATTAACAATAAACTAGTCCACAAGCTTTTGAAGCATCATCAATAACAATAACAATAACAATCAATAACAAT